TACGGGAATTTAATAACGGAAATATCGTTATAAAGCGCCCTAAAAGTATAAAGGATTCTAATAAGGAGGATACAGGCAACGAAACAGCGAATATATCTATTAATAACTCTTATAAATAATAATTTAAAAACTACCGTAACAAAAGGAAACTACTAGGGATTACATCTAGGAATAGCATCATCTCTAGCCAATTTTAAAAGGATTTCAGGGCATTTCTAGGTAGATCTAGTGCGGTTTGTACGCCAGATCTAAGGGGGTATATTAGACGGCAGGGGATATACACGTACACAGTCACGGGATTTCGGAGGAGCGGATCAGCTGCGGGATTTATACCAGATGCCAGATATCGAGCCAGGTGCAGATTAGCACAACAGAACACACACAATACAGCCACGTTAAACCCCCTACTTTCAGACCCATATTATCACAAGTGACGTTGGAAGATATGCGTGCATAAACAGGTGGGTCTCACATCCCCCACGTTTTAGCGGCAGGAGTGGTTCGGGCGCTGTCTTGGCATGACAGGGGCATGCCTGCCCCTGCTGACGATTCCTTGGCGTTTCTGGCGTTGCTGAATTTCCATTCTTCCTCCTCTCCATCTTCCTTTCATCTTCTTTTGAATCCGACTGTGAACCGACTTCCCCGTTGCAACGGAAATGGCCGGGCGTGCCCGGTGTCAGAACACTTCACCGCTGAAGCCGCAAATAAAGGCGGTGGTCGATTTATCGGAATTCAAAAAACAGACTTTGATGCATCCAACACTGTATCTCCCAGCTTCTTACCACGGGAATCAAACAAGCTCATTCACGCTCCCAGGACATCCCATCCCGTCCCGTCCATTCCATCGTCTGTGGTCATTGTCGCACCATGACGAAAAGAGGCAACTAGTTGACAAAGGAAAGTGCAAAGGCTGATCCTTTTCCATAGTTCTGGAACTGATTACTGATATCGACTGCTTGAGAACGACCGCTAGAGACCCAACCAAGTGGTTACCAGGACATCTCCTTTTCTTTCCCTCCTTGTCTGTTTTCGTTTACAGACATCTCCTGTCAAGGATGAGGGACGGGCACATTCCATGTCTGGGCGGCTCATTCACAATGGCTTAGCACGCACCCCTACAATGCCACATCTTTTATACTTCCAGGGTGTTTCCGTCCGCTTGCCCGCCCTACGCGCCCCTGTATTCCGTTCCAAAGACAGTCCCTTTGTCACTTTCCGAGCCCAACTCTGACCATTAAGCTGGATCTGGATCGCCGGTTTGGCTGCTACCTAGCTACCCATGCCATGATAAGAAATTCTTGGTGGTCGGGATTCATCTAAGAAGCACCTGTTTTCCAGTCGAAACATGTGGATGGATGTCAAGGGATGAAGTGTTGCATGATGTTGTGCGATGCACTTCCATCTTTTGACGCTTAAAAAACAACAAAGGTACGCAAATGCGTGCCTATGTCTCCCATTCCAACTCCTCTTGAACGATTCCAAATCCAACCAAGATTTTGCTTCCTTCGCGACCGTCACAGCACATGCGTTGCTGTCCATATCTGCTGGAGCGGGAAAGCATGTGCACAAAACCAACCACGTACTAGGTTCAACTGATCGACCTTCGGCATCACCTAACTAACGACATTCTTCAACGCCAAACAATGTTCTACACCGAACGCACAATCGCCACCACCGTCACTCTCGACTTTCTCATCTCCCACCTCGCTGCGCAACACCATTCCCGCGCCAACAACTACTGGAAAAGCATCAAGCTCCGAGCCCGGCGCATCTTCCTCATTCTGCTCGATCTCGGCGTCCCAACACAAGTATTTAGCTTTCTTGACCAGGGGTGGGATGATTTGCAACTTCCATTTTCGAGGGAACAGCTGGCCGAGCTGCCATTGACGGGAGTGTTTGGAGCACGGGATGAGCATTTGGAAAATAAGTTTTATGAGAGGCAATGGCGGTATTTGCTAAGGGACATCAATGAAGGGGATTGTGTGGAGTTTGCTGAGGAAGAAGATGTTCCTGTCGAGGTAGTCTACGCATCCGGCGCCCCAGAGGGTTACGGAACTGGAATCAGGAAGGGCAGCCTTCAGCATGTCCAACAAGTGGTTACGGGTCATGCTGCTGGATTTGGCCTCGGACAAGGGGGGAGTGTTAGTGAAAAGCCGACCGCTGTGGAGGATAGGGTTACGCTACCCGATCAGCCGGCTGGAATGGTGTTCACTCGGCGACGCGTACCACTGATCGGCTCGAAAGAACAACGGTCGAGTGGACAAGGAGAGACGGCGGGATACGCATCGATGATGACGAGGGAGGACTTCCTCCGTGAGGTCGTGGCTATCAGGAGTCTCAACCTACACAACGAGCACCTGGCCCGTTACTTCGCATCCTACACACATCTCGGAAACGGCTACATGCTTTTCACACCCGCTACGACGGAGCACACGTTCAAGTCGATCCTGAGCAGCGGAACCCTCCCATCCTCTGTCAGACATCTCGAAAAAGGACAACAAAAGCGGCTAGTGATGAACTGGATTCACTGTCTAGTTGACACAGTCTGCTGGCTGCACAGTAAGGGATTGGCACATGGAGCTATAAAACCGGGCAACATCTTCCTAGCAGAACACAACAATCTCCCTGTTCTGGCCGATTTTCATACCAGGACTAGTCCTACCGGACCAGTAACGGAAAAGGGACTGGCGCAGCAGTTCGACAAGGAAGCATACGACTATGCCGCCCCTGAGCTAGCGCGGTATCACCGACCTACACAACCATCCACGGCCGCGAACATCTCACCAGAGAGTCTAAGGGGCACGTTAACCAGTCATGCTTCCCGACCTTCTACCGCTGCTCTAGTTATGCGCCCCGTATCACCTTCATGGCCACTCCATCATACCTCACCGGCTCCGAACTACCATCTCCCCTCCCCTTCCTCTCCTACGTCCTCGCAAACGCACCACCTCCAAGCCTTCCAAGCAGCAGACATCTTTGCCCTGTCCTGCATCATCCTCGACATTCTGTCTTTTCTGGTCTTCAAGAGACAAAATGGTGTCCGCGCCTTTGCCGCCCATCGCGCGGCTAACCCCAAACACAAAACACCGGGGAGAGGGGGTGCGTTACCGGATTCGAGTTTCCATCGAAACCTGGACCAGGTAAAGAGCTGGATGGCGGAGCTAGTGAGGGAGGCAGAAGAGAAAGTTGCCGCCTCCAAAAAGAAGAAACCTACGTTCGGTGGGATAGGCAGCAAGTTGCACCTTAGTGGGTTAGGGCTGCGTATGGGTTTGGGACATGGACATGGGGCAAGCGGGAACAGCAGCAGCGATGAAGGCAGCGATCACGGATACGGCGATAAGAAGGATGCCCTGGAAGGTATAGGCATGATGGTAAAAGTGATCGAAGGAATGTTGAACCCCGATCCAATGCAACGGAAGACTGCGCTGGAAGTGCAGGGGGGTACTTATCTGGCTTTGAGAGAGGGGTGCGGGATCGGGGAGCCGCATTGTGTACATGAATACGGTCCGTCACCTCTAGGCCGGTTGACGACCAAAACTCCGTCTCCGACGAGAACTCCGCAGCAGACGACCCCGACGCCCAGTATGTACGGCAGCAGGATGAGGAGCAACAGCGCTGTTTCGATGATATCAGGGTCGCCATCAGCAGCGTCCCCTTCCTACCCCGTGCCCGGCTCAGGATCTCGTTCATTTTCCATTTCCGGCCCCGCATCTGCTTCCCGCTGGTCGCATTCCACATCCTCTCGCTCCTCCACCTCTTCCTCCTCCTTTGGCTTTCCCCATGGCTTTTTCAGCAGCATAGGAGGCCAAAGCCACACCAGGGGCAACAGCCATGAATATCGGAATGGGCAACCAAGACAAAGAAGAACCAGCAGCCGAGCCAGCGGTCCCAAACAGTTACTTACCGTGCCATCGTCCATGTGCTCGGCCACGCTATCATTACCTACAAGGCCTAGGACCGCGACTCCCACTGCCAGTTCCGCTTTTACTATCACTCAGCACCACCAGCAGCAGCAGCAGCAGCAGCCGCGGGCAAGTGTTTCTACTTCGAGAGGTATGCCTGGTCCAAGGAGTCAGAGTAGCACTCGCGCTCAAAGCCGGAGCCGGTGTGGTTCAAGAACAAGGGGTGATCATGAAGATGGACACGGGCATGGACACGGTAACGGAGAAGCAGAACATATGATTTGGAAGAGAATTCTTTACGCCGGTAGTGGCAGTGGCAGCGGTAGTGGGAGCCACGGCGGCAATAGCAATAACGGAAGCAGGAGTGGCAGTTTTTCTAATCACACTCACCCACCTGAGGCTGCTTCTGCTCTTGCTGCTGCTGCTGCTGTCGTTCAGCATAGCTCGAGCTCGACCTCGAAAATGATGGGGAAGTTGAAGAGAAAACCGGAACAGGCCACCACGGCCAAGGCTAAGGCCACGGCTAATCCTCGTGGTATTGGAGGTGGTGTCGGTGCTAGTTCTAATTATGGCATGCGGGGCAGGTCTAGTTCTCTGACGAGCCTGACGAGCTTGACGAGGTCGTGGAGGGAGAGGAGGCATGGGAGTGGCGGGTCGGGGACGGGCCGGACGGCGCTGTTTGGGGTTTCTGCTGGGACATAAGAAAGGCGAAGGACAGGAGGGGAGTAATGGAAAAGGGAAAAATAAATGGAAAATAAATGGTGGTCGAACGACCATGTATGATAGACACTCGGGAAGGGAAAACATTGTTGGTGATGCTAATGTGCTATGGTAGCAAAGATGATCAATAGTGCTCAACTCAAGTATTTGTCTGATGTCTGATACCTCCCACATACTTGTCCTATCCCGTTGCAACTTTCCCCGATCAGGTAGCAAACTCATGGGTGTGCATGGTAGGTAGATACCTAGCTCGGAGTAAGGTAAGCCTCCGTCCACCTCACCATACATAGGTACCTACTAGATAAATAAAGGCAGGATTCGAATCTCATCGATACAAACAAAATCCCACCAAAAAAGAACACCAAAAGGAAAATAAACTGCGCAGTCCGGGGTTCGAACCCGGGTCACTCGTTGTCTTCCAGAATTGGTGGGAAACGAGCGTGTTAAACCACTACACTAACCGCGCTCTTTTCTCGTGACTTGCTTGTTGAATAACTGTCAAGGAAGATCGGGTCATAAGGGGCAAGTGACGGCCGGTAGTGAGTAGGCTAGGGAAGGTGCGGCGAGGGAAGGAAAAAGGAGTGTTGTTTGCTGTCCGGTGTCCGCCGGTGTCGGATGTGGGTTGCCCATGAGGAAGGAAGGATGGAAAGCACGTGTGTGGAAGAAGGAAGAAAGGAACGAACGGAGAAAAGGAAAGGACTTCAGGGGTGGTTAGTTGCCCCTTGGTTTGTAGGGAAAGAGCAATGAGTGTGAAAGGGCTTGAGGGGGTTGAGCCTGCCAAGCGGAAGCAAGCACCTGGACTCCACGAGAAAACAAGTAAAGTCGGGTTGATCGTACAGAGATGACGGGGAGCTGGAAAATATTAAAAAAAAAAAATTGCGGATCGCAGACCCGGTGTTTTACAGGATTTGTTGTGCAGTCTCAACGGGCCACTGCTGTATACGCCTGTTTTTCTGGTTTTCTGGTTTTTACTTTTTACTTTTTTTCTTTTTTTTCGTTAATAAACGTGGTGTTCGATTGTGGGATGTGAGGCTTCTGCCGTGATCCAACGGTTTGAAGGCTCTTGAGACACACTGAAAGGGTTGGTTGAGAGACATGAAAAGCAAAACATCGTGAAAAGTTGGCAATTTGTCGGCAGTGAAAAATCCCGTGTTAGCACGAGGTGCCTGTATCGAGGTACTCATAAGCCAAGTACCGAAAATCGCCGTTGGCCAGCAGGAAACAATGGGAGGAGAAGAAGGGTAGAAGAGGACGCAGATCCAGCAGAAAAGAAGAAGGAAAAGGCGGAGGAAAAACGAAGACAAAAGATACGCCTTCAAACCCACTCATTATAGGTAGAACGTTGTCTAAACTTCCGTTCAAGGTAACATTGATATATTTCGTTTCTTGGGAGATGTCTGTAGTGTGATTCAATACTGTCATACAATTACTCACGTCTCACGTAAACCCATGTGCTCTATAAAGGAGCAATATAAGCAAAGCAATGTATCACACGTGTTCAGGATCAGCACCAGTTTGATTTATTATTTCTTTATTCCTCGCTCGCCAGAGGCAGCTAAGCTAAGCTAGCCCTCTTCGCTATCTTCGTCCAATTACTACATTACTTAATGCCATTTAATCCATTCAACTACTATCCCCTGTCTTGACCCTCATCCACCCGGTCTTCCATCTTCATCGTAGGTATGGCCAACTAATATTGCTCATGCTATGTGTGGGTATAGTTTATCAGGTCTCGCTTTGTTTCCAAACCAAGCCAGCCCAAGATATTTAAAAGAAGTGAAAACCATACTAAAAGCAAATAAAAACGCCGTTGCTCGTAAAAATCCAGAATGATGCTTTTTGTGCGCGCACACCCATACCAGAAGAAACGTTTATGTAGTTCATTCCTTCCAGGATTTCGTATCATCTCTTGTCTTCATAAGACCATGTGTTCGTTCGTGATTGTGGACTGTCCCCATAAGACATGTCGTTATGTGTTTTGTGTTGCTGTCCTCATAAGAGGGTGCTTTTCGTGTTGTGGTTTGGCCCTCATAAGGCCGTTTTCTTATGTTTCTTTGGTTGTGGGTTGACATTCATCCACCGCTTAAACAGCGTTAGTAGCATCGCCAGTCTTCCTGGGCACACCAGAAGGCTGCTCCGTCTCACCAACGGCATCATCAGAGTTGGTCTCCTTGCCGCTCTCGTCCTCAACAGCAGCCCTGGGCGCGAAAGTGGGAGCGTAGGCGGATTTGGCGCGGATGCGGGCGCCGTAGTAGTAGAAGATAATAGGGATAGGGACAAGCGCGAAGGCAACGCAACCAAGCAGGGTGGAAGCCCACTGGATACCCATGCCTTTGAACATGTAGCTGGAGAAGAGCGGGAAACCGGCACCGGCAAGCGAGCGGAGGAAGGTGTTACCGGCGATGGCGGAGGCGGCGAACATGAGGTAGGAGTCGACCAGGTAGTTGAGGGCCTGAAGGAAGATGGAGGCGAGACCGAAGCCAGAGAGGAGACCGGAGAGAGTGGGCACGATCCAGTGAACCTGGCCGGTGTAGCCGGACCAGCCGAACCAGAAGAGACCGCCGGAGAAGGCGAAACCGCCGGCGATGACGCTGGGGAGACGCCACTCGGGGATGGGGACACCGTTGTTGGCGTTGAGCTTGCGCGTGTACCACGGCTGCTGCAGAAGAATGGCGATACCGGCGAGGATCTGGCCAATGATCATGCCGAAGAAGGCGAGGCCGGCAACACCGGGGGTCATGTGGTAGACACCCTGGAAGACCATGGGGTAGGCCGTCAGGAAGAGGTACAGGATGCCGTAGAGGAAGGACATGTAGATGGAGAGAAGAGCGACGATGGGCTCGCCAAAGAGCAGGCGCATGGGACGCGACAAGTTCTTCTGGATAAGCTCCTTCAAGTCAATCTCGATTTCCTCCTGCTTGGCGTGGATGCCCCAGTTGAGGGTGCGGCGGCGGAGCTCGGAGGCCTTCTTGACCAAAATCTGGGGAGGGTAGGTCTCGTGCATGAAGAGGAGATCCAGGCCGAAGGCGAGGAAGGCCATGAAGGAGACAATGTACTCGGTCCAGCGCCAGCCAAGGTACGAGGTCGCAATGAAGCCACCGATGAAGGGAGCCATCATGGGAGCAGTGAAGACGGTCATGGAGAACATGGTGATGGCAATACCTCTCGTCCTGTTGTCGAACATGTCCGAGAAAACAGCAGCGACGACAGCCAGCGGGCAGGCGCCAAAGAAGCCAGCGAAGAAGCGAGTGATGAGGATGGTCTGGAGATCCTTGGCGGTAGCGGTGGAGATACTGAAGATAGACATACCGAACATGCCGATAATCAGAGGAAGCTTACGACCCTTCAACTCGGACAGAGGCGCCCATAGTGTCGGACCAGTAGCGAAACCGAGAACGTACAAAGAGATGCCGAGAATACCGACGGTCTGGCTGACGTGGTAGATCTTGGCGACGGAAGCGGTTGCCGAGGAGAAGATGGACGAACCGAACGAAGCAACGAAGGTAGTATATGCGAGAATAAGGGCAGTACAGAACCTAAGCGAGTCATGTTAGTCTTCCGGTGGTAAAGCACGGGCGTGGTGCTGCGTCAACTTACTTCTTCCTGAAGGGCCAGTTCATGGCGTGCATGGGGTCGTCCGGACCGTCAAACTCGACCACATACTCATCCGGATCGGGCAGCTGGGGTGGGTAGGGCTTTCCGGCGCCGAAGGGGGGAAGAGGCTTCTCGGACCTCCTGCTCCTCGTCCTGGATCCCCTGGTTCCTATCCTCCCAACAGTAGCGCTGTGCTGACTCCTCTGCGTCTGGATGCGACTAAGCTCGGTAGGGTGCCTCTCGAGGTCGTGTTGTGTCGAAACACCGCTGATGCGTCTCGCTCTCGTGTGCCTTTCCTCGGAAGACGTAGACGAAACCGACGACGTCGACGTGACCCTCTCAACCTCATCGCTACGGCGAGCGAGAAACGACTGACCGGCAAACGCCATGGGCGAGGCATCGATCTCGGCGGCCGCAATCTCGCGGTCGGCTTCGGTGGGCGTCATGGTGACTCTGGTGTGTATTGGTGTGGGTGTTGTGGGAGGTAGTTGATCGGTTGCTGGGGGACCGGGTTGATGCCAATACCTAACCTATATATGATATGATAGGCAGGTGGCAGAATGGTATGAGTTGATTAATGTACTTTTTGTTCTTTGTACACACACAAGACACACAGCAAAACGGAATAGTAGACTGGGGACCTGATGATGGACCTCGGCTCGGGACGATAGTCGATCAACAAGCCAACAGACTTGTATAACTTTTTATTCCTAAACTGGAACCTGATGGGGGGAAGGGGTGGTGTAGTGTAGATGAAGCGAAGAAAAAAGTCAGGGTTCAACTACAGACTAGAAAGGAAATAATCCCAAAAAGTCGTTCATCCGGGGAAGGAGAGGAAGGGGAGAGGGGATCCCTTGCCGTATAAATAATGAATGACGTGCACCACTCGAAGCACTCAAAGGGGACCTTCTCTGGCGCCATACCGGTATGTACATAAGGTGGTAGTACCTTTTTCTTCTTCTTCTTGGGCCTCCTGGCAAGGACAAGCAGGGAACAGGGGTTTCTGCTACAGGATAGATCCTCAGCCAGGCCAACGGTGCCCACAGTTTCCACAAACTGGAGCCTGGCCTTTCAGAGATTTTGCAGACCTGAGGCATTCGGAACGGGTGGTGGGTGCTGTGTGGTAGGTACCTTATGAAAGGGGCCCGGGACTCGGCACTCGCCTCTGTCCCTAACGCCGGTTTCTGTGGCGCAACACACCCGTGACTGGCGCCCGGGCGGTTCTTCGGTTGATGCTGCAGTCCGGGTGCTACAGTACAGGGAACCATCCGCAGGAATGATACAGTGATCCCAGCTGCCAGAGAAGAAGCCGCGGTTGGCCGGCATCCCGACCCTGCCAACCCTCACGTTCAAAGAAAAGTAAGATTTGCTGCAGGAAATGGGATGAACTGGTGCGAGGCTACACTATGAGGCTCGATTGAAACCCGCCGGCAAGATCTGGCGTCAATGCTCAATGCAACTTTCTTCTTCTTCAGCTTCTTCGACATTGTTCTGTTGCAGATGGATGGATCGATGGCCAAAAAAATAAAACAAATAAGAGAGTGGCAGTGGCGGCGGGGGGCACCAGTGCAGTGTTGGGAAAGCGCAAAAGACGGGAAGACGGGACTCCGTCGCTCCGCATGCCGTGGCTGCATCCAGCATAAATCGCCCCCGGCCGTCTTGCGATCGTCGACTGGAGCAGCACTGGAGCCTCTCCAACCTTCATCTCCGCGATGCGCTGATGGGACGCCCGGAACATGGATTCTGTCAACCCCTCGAATGAATGGCGGTGTCAGGCCCCAACTCCCACCAGAAAAAAGCCCCAACAGTGCAGCAAAGCACCCGCGAAGAAGAAAAAGATCTTCACTGTTTCTCCTCGCCCAAACTCCACAA